TGTGTGTGTGTGTGTAAGGGATTAATGATATAAATATAGACATTTACAACTAATTTAAAGTCAGTCCGAAAACAAACAAAAAATCAGTGCATCATCTGCAAATAGTTTGACACAATTCGTCAAGTTATTATTTTTATGTCGTCATGTTTTTCTCCTTTCTCTTCGCTGTCAAAGAAAACATTTATTTTCCCACTTAATTCTTTCTGTGTCGGCCTGTCGGGGGGTTAGTTGGTGTCTGTCTCCAGTGGTCTCTGTGTGAGAGGCGGGGGACACCCTGGGCGGTCCATTACAGAGACACATGGAGACAAACAACCTTTCACACTCTCACCCACGTCTGGAGATAATTTACACTTACCAGTACCTGAACATGTATGTTGGAGAAAACCAATTTACCCAGAGAAAACCCACACATGCACAGGGAGAACATGCAAACACCACCCAGAAAGACCCTCAGGCTGGGAGTTGAACCTGCAACCTTCCTCTCTTTCTTTTCTTCGTGTACGGCGGCACACGGCAGAGTGCACGCCCTGCAGGATGTCTGGCGCGTGTTTGCATCTCGTGCGTGAGTCACCCCCACGTGTTGAGTTTCAAACCGCGGCCGATGCTCTCGTGCGCTCAGAGCCGAGCGTGCGCCGAAAGGTGATGAGTAACGTTTCCACTGATTTGCTGACGGCGGAGGAATGTGGTTGTTGTTATCCTCTGCTTCTGTCAGCAGCCGAAGGAGTTTTGCTGAGATTCTTTGCTCCTTTTCAAATAAAAATAAATAAATAAATAAATATTCAACTGATGATTCATTAGCTTCACAAAAACCTGACGGTTTCCAGAGCTCATTCCTCTTAATTTAACTCTTTTTTTTTTTTTGGAGCTCAGGAGACAAAGCAGCGATGAGCACTGGGGTCATTACATGTTCATGTTGGTGGGCTGCGTAAATAATCCATGGGAAGGAAAAGGCATGATGGTGCACATTTTTATTTTGGACACGTGATGCGACATGCCACAAAACAACGGCTGAAGCATCTGAATTATGTCTGCTTTGTTTCCTTTTTTACTCAGGTTTATGTTGAGTTCAAGGTTTTTAGTTTTGTTTATGACTGTTTCGTTGAATTATTAACCTTTATCTCCTGGCTTTATGTGCCTTTGGTTTTCTCCCTGGATATTTTGGAATCGCAGGTGTTGTTTTGCTAAATTTTTCTAACTTTATTGTCTTTAAATATTAACCTCGTATCTCATAGACAACATGCTTTTAATTATATTAAGAACAGATTTTGAAGGATATGACCATTTTAATTTTATAGGAAAGGAGCAGAAATTTGTCTTTTGATTGTAAAGGTTGCCGACTTCTGTTTACCTGGAAATTTAAGAAGGGAGACTTAAAACTAAGGTTGGGCAAAATCATATCATGTGCAACTAATCATCAGAAAAACGAAAGAATTGACAAAATCCTACACACTGTGCGTTTAAAAGGAAAACTAAGAAAATGGTGTCGTGCTTTTAGCATCGGTATCTAACCGATAAATTTCTTCACTCGTATGACGCAAACTGAAGGACAAGGGGCTGGTTTTAACCAGGTTACGGATATGAGGCATCCAGGGGATTAATTGTCATATTAATCATTATCGGCTAAATACCACAATTAATAGTATGAATTTTTTTGCCAATATCACCCTACTGTATGTAAAACACAGTTTTATCCACATATCACTCATGAACTGCTAACATATCTTTATGTTTTGTTTATTAGTCCTTGTTGGCACCTGATACGCAATTTTCTATCATCTATTTTTCCATCATCATCGTGTCGGGTCTGAGTCGACCTCCGCCTCAGAGTATCACTCTGTTGGTTTATGTGTTGCTGTTTTAACAGATATATTATTTATTTTTTATATATAAAGCAGAGGTTTAAAATGGCGGTTCTGTTTCTTGTGAAGGAGACGTTCTTACACGGTCTGTGTTAAATACCACATCCCTGCCTTTTTATTTTTTTATGCCTCTTTTATTTTCCCACCTGTTGTGCTTTCATCAGCGCAGGGAGCGAGTGGGCGGATGAAGGGAAGGATGGATGGATTAACTGTGCCGTGTTGTTGCTGCAGTTCACACATTCCAGCGGGCCGAACCGGGCCAACTCTCTGTTCCAGGACAGAGGCCTCCTTCATCCCCCCCCCCACTCTGCCCCCTCATCCCTCCGTCTCCCTCCTGAGTTGAATGTTGCAAAGAAACCACAGGAAGTCTTTTTGTTCCTCCTCACCTCGCCTCGTCGTCTCTGCAGATCCATCCTCCGTCTGAAGCGAGGCTCGTTTCACCGAGGCCTCAATCAGAACCAAAGGAAACATGATTCCTCCTACAAATGATGCAGAGCCTCTTTAGAGGACTGCGCTAATAAACATCTTTTTTTACCTGGGACTGGAGCGCCATCTACAGGCGTAATGCTGTAAAGACACGAGTTGCTGTTCAGAGACACAACAACTGATCCAAACCTTAAAAAATGCAGTTTTAGTTATAATAAAAACCAAGAATTTGAATATAATTTTCAGCTTTATTTCTCCTCCAACAAAAAACATAATCGCTACACTTAATAATATATTTTAAACGACCTGTATGAGTGCCTTTAATTGCTAGAAAACCTGACTTTTTGCTCTCAAATTTTAGCTTAAATTAGTTAAAATCAGACTGAAGCTTGAATAAAAAGCAAGAAAAGCTTTTTACAAAGCTTTAAAAGTTTACTTTCATTTTATCCTGATGCATCTCAGTAATCCAGGTAGAAAAAATCAAAAAGAAATAATCAGTAGGTCCTCTGGGTGGGTTCTTCTTTAGTGAAACGTTTCGTCTCTCCTCCAAGAGACTTCTTCAGTCTGATGAGTTTCAGGTGAACTCAGCCTTATAAGCACTGCCTCCACCTGGACAAACCGGTTAGTCACATGCAAAAGAGGGCCATCGACTAACAACAGGCTTGATTAGCTCTATTGTTCATAGAGGGTCATGTGCCCCATCACCTGACTTATTGGTTTGGATGTTTCGACTGTGGTTATTTGGTGTTTTATGTGTGTGTAGTGAGTGCAAGCGTGGTATTTGTGTTGTGTATCCAGCACAAATAGGGAAAGACAAACAAAAACAAGGGGACATTGAACCCCCGCTTGCACTCACTACATACACATAACAAAACATCAAATAACCACAGTCGAAACATCCAAACCAATAAGTCAGGTGATGGGGCACATGACCCTCTATGAACAATAGAGCTAATCAAGCCTATTGTTGAGCAATGGCCCTATTTTGCATGTGACTAACCTGTTTGTCCAGGTGGAGGCAGTTCTTATAAGGCTGAGTTCACCTGAAACTCATCAGACTGAAGAAGTCTCTTGGAGGAGAGATGAAACGTTTCACTAAAGAAGAACCATCCAGAGGACCTACTGATTTTTTTTTCTTTTTGATACTTTCATTTTAGTTTCCTTTAGGCAGGCAGCTGATTTTCAGAGAATAATAAACGTTTATCAACGTTTTTTCTTTGTGGGGATTAAACCTTTACTCTTCCTCTGGATGTCTCGATGGTTTTAAGTTGTTCTTTTGAATGTTTTGCCATGAATTAAATGAAAACCCCTGTGTGTGTGTGTGCGTGCGTGCGTGCGTGTGTGTGTGTTGGATCTGTCAGGGTCGAGTCGAGGTGGAGGCTGGGAACGAGAACATGAAGTTTGAGACCGGACCTTTCTCTTATTACGGCGTCATGGCGCTCAACACGTCCATGCCAGGTGAGCCCAAAATATTTATTTTTAATTATCTCAAATATTTTTTGTCATTAGGAGTAAGTAATTTTGCTGACACATTGCTTTTTTTAAGAACTACATTGTCTATTTTTTATCAAATGGAAAATCATGCAGAATGCACATTTTAGTTTCATTACTGTTTGATATTTTATTTGTTGTTTATTTGTTTTTAATTGTCTGGAGGAACTACAGATGTAAATTTGCTTAAGGCTTAATTTGGCGCAATGCACCAGATGTTTTTACATTTATGTTTTTATCTGCACACTGTCCTGATAAAATTAATTTAAAAAAAAGTTACAGCACAAACTAATAAAAAACAAGAAAATCTAAGAATGATTTTAGTAATGTGGCTGCACGGTGGAACAGAGGGCGCTGTTACGTTGCAGTAATCAGGTCACAGTTTTGCTTCGACAGTCTAAATTCCTGCATTTTGGTTTAACCGGTTATTTTAAACTGGTCATAGGTAAGAGTGGGAATGGTTGTTTGTGTCTGCTGGTCTCTGTGAAGGACCTGGGACCGGTCCAGGGTCTAACCCCACCTGAGCCCGCTCACCAAAGAGCTCTGAGTGTTAAAGAAAACAAAGATTTAAGCAGGAGTTTGTTCTGTTTGATCACGTTCATCTTTTAGGCTGATTAAAAATAAAAAACACCCTGATTCCATAACTTTAATTTTATTACTTGTCTGTGTTTTTTATCTGACACTGTGATTTTTTAGGGTCATCATTAAGAGAAATGTGACTTTTTTTTCCTGCAGCATTTTTCATGTCTTCCATCCAGCTTTTGTTTGATCAAATAAAAGTAACAATCATGATGTGTGGTCAGTTAGGTTGTCTTCGTTAGGTGTGTCCTGACATCAGAGCAAACCCTATGTACTTTTATTACTTTCTTTATAGTGGAAACTTAAAGGGACCCATGATTAGTTGTAACATCATTATTTGATAAACATATTTTAACTGTAAAATAAAGACTGTAAAAATACTGTAGGATGTTCAGTTTAGCACGTTGACAGAGAGGAGAAGGTAGAAATGACTCAGCCTGGAACTGAAAATGTGACAACAGAGCTGCTTCATGGAAGAAGAACCTCAGCTTAGCCTGTTAGCTTTAGCGTTAGCACTATTATATGTATTAGCCCGGCGCTAGCGCAGCARACTAACAAGCTAAACTGAGGTCAGTCCACAGTATTTTTACAGTCTTTATTTTACAGTTAAAATATATGTTTGTTACAACTAATCATGGATACCTTTAAAAAGTCTTGATCAAATCAAACGGTAAATATCAGTCAACAGTAGGTATGAGAAAGACTGGTCCCATATATTATTAACCAATCAGTTATATAATGTTTTAACTCAAACATAAGAATATTGTACAGTTAAATACAATAAATAAATAATACAATAGAAAACCCTGAAAATTACCTCAATAAATCCAATAAAAAATTAATATGTAAAGTGTAAGATAATTATTCAAAGTTACTTAAACGGATCTAGAAGCTGCTGGATAGAAATCCTGAGCTGGTTTGTATCGGAGTGCTGATATCAGTGATTTTAAATGCAGGCTGATATAATATGATATTAATTTTCTGTCTAATTTTATTGGACATTGACATCAGATCAGGACACTCCTCGTCTTCATGGTTTTTCATGTCCTGTTTGTCACTGACTGTCCCTCCTCCTCTCCTGTCCTCTCAGCGGCTGCTCCTCGTTCTCTCCGCCTCTCCTTTAAGAGGTTTTCTCTGTTCTCTCGGTTGCCAGGTAAACGCCGGCATGTCAGGGGGGTCCTTTAACGCGGGGCTCAGGTTCAGAGGGTGGGCTTTAGTTTCACGCCGCTGCTGGCTGAAACAGACTTCTGTCTACAACCTGTGCCTTTCAGCTTCAGGTCTCAGTTTGAGTTTCAGCGACTGGGCGGTGGACAGAAGTTTTCCCCTCACAGCAGCAGCTTCATGTGATTTACTGCAGAGCTGCTCTAAACCACAGCAAACTGTCACAGAGTGGACGCTACGTTTTTGGCAAACAAATTAGTCGTGTGATCTTTTCTTGCAGTTTTGAAATTGGCTTTAATAGTAAATTTGTTTGCCAAAACGTCGGCCTTGTTGTCAAACTGTCAGCTAAAGTTCTCCACCCTCGATGTGTGAAGCTGCTTGTAGGATGCTTCCTAATGGCTTCTTCTAGTTTGATCACTTCTCTGCTAAATAAGTAGAAGACATGACGTCGGGTCTGTAGGGTTTGTTCATTTTTTGTAGTTAAATCTTCAGCTTGAATAACTGCTGCTGTAGAGTCACTTGAAAAATCCTCTTAAAAGCAGATTTAAGCTGATTTAATCTCAGTAACATTATTACAACATTATTTTAAAGGGATCCCTGATTAGTTGTAACATTAGACTTTATTTGATAAACATATATTTTAACTGTAAAATAAAGATTGTAAAAATACTGTAGGCTGTTCAGTTTTGTACATTTTTAACAATATATTTTAACATGGAGAAAGCCATTTTATTACACAAAGCATTCTGGGTAAATGATGATGTGGATAGGTCCTCGGTGTAAGCGAGCTATATCCA